TTGCGATACGGATTTTATCTTAGTTCAATAGGTCCTCTGTTCTCTGCTCAAGGATTGTTACTTAAAAATTAATTCTAAGGCGCAAATCTTAAAGTTAGTTAATGTCTGGTTCCAAACAGAAGGGGACCGTGGAGTCCAGGACGTAACATATGCGCGCCTACAGAGTCCGGGTTCCGCTTCCCATGCGCTCCCATTGACTTGTATCCAATTAACCAATAACTTAATAAATATTACAAATTTTGCAAAATGATGTATGACTTTTAGATTTAGATTAAGCCAATCTTCGTATTTTCGGTTTCGTCAAAAATTTTCAGACATCTTGTATACGTACTCATATACATATATATGCGTATACATTATATGTGCATTATAAATAATATATTTTTGCTATCAATTATAAATTATGTTTGTTTTAGTTAAGTGGGATAAAGTTATTGTGAAATGTAAAAAAGTTATTCTCTATCCCACGCGTCAAAAAATATTATATTGTAAGTGCCTGAAAGAGAATTCTGTTTAAATATTTCGCGCGCGCGCGACTTTGCCGAATGGCTTGATATGTATTGCCTTGTAGCTAATGCCCTTATCTGTTTATTATTGTAATTCCCTTGAGAAAGGTCATATCGCGCCATCTCTAGGAACACATGTTATTGTATCGTGCTTGATTTTGGAGATACTTGCCGATTACGTAGGGGGAGTCGTTTTGGAACCGTTGAAGAGATCGGTCGAAGATTTGAATATGTAAAGATTGAGTTTGTGTAATGTGCCTAGAGTGATATATTTGAGTTGATATGTGACCGTAAAGGAGATCGGTCCAAAAGTTTGTGAAATATTAGTTGCCGCGTTTGTAGAATGAGTTGTTGAGTTATGTCATTGTAATTAATCGGAGTGATAATAAATGTATCTATTTTTGTATATAAAGTGAAGAAATGAATATTAGTTTATTTGCCCTCAAGTGAACCGCTTAGTGCCGAAAAGTATTTTACCCACGCGCCTACAGTATTAATTTATTTGAGAAGTCGGATATACCTTACAATATTAAATAAATAAAATCGCAATGAAAATTAGAAAAAATTAGTTAAAAGGCCGATACGAGCAGTAAAATACAGGTTGGTCGTGTATAAATAGTAGTCTTTATTCAATAAACAAACGTTTCAGTCCACAAGTTTGGACCTTCTTCAGTGTAATAAAGTTTAAATTCAATTAAAAAACATTTTAGCTCAATACATCACTACCACACAAAATGAATGATGTCAATCGAACATGACGATAAAATACAAATACTAGAAATCTATAACTGTGAAATCTATAACTGTGATCCGTGTGCGCACACAGAGGGCGGTTTTCGCTTGTGTGCGTGTCCCCACCGCTTCGATCTCTTGTTGCTCTCTGCTCGATCTTGCAACTCTACTGTGAACCAAGTTCTTCATGTATTTATACGCAAATGTGTCTGTTCTTATATCTGAGAAAGAATTATTGTCCAAACTCCATCTAATGTTGATATTGATGAAGTTATCACGTACGGAGATCTATACACACGTTGTGCGCGCGCGTGTGTTTACATTCACATACATACATACACACAAATATAATACCTGTAATACGCACGTTCTCTGTTCATTTGTCACGAGAGAACGAATGCACATACATCCAGTTTACATTATAATATAATGCTTGTGCTTTGCATATTATTTAATAAATAAATATTGTGTTGTAATACACACATTGTGTTGTGATACACAATATGTGTGTGTGTGTGTGTGTAAAAAAAAGAGAAGAAGTTCTATTTATAAATTATATAAATGTATTTAGAATGCCGTGGAATTTCCACGCTTAACACGAGCATTGCGATAATAAACTTGACCCATTGTGAACAGATCTAAAAAGATGATGACTGGGTCTGTGAGACCCACGTGACTCTAAAGTCAAATATCTCCGGGAAAAATCAATATTCTTTAAATTTTGATTTTTGAATCAAAAAAATCTCTAGTAGTTTTAAAGATATGAGCGTTCATCAAACAAAACATTTTACTAGAAACGCAAATGCACAATTTTTGAGTGAGTCTGAGAGACCTATGTCTGTCCGCGAAGGGTCAACTCTTTTATTCTCATAAAAAAGACAAGTGTTCTTGAAAATTTCAAATACATATAACACTGCAATATATATTTGTATACAAGGTGTCTGACAACGAACTATAGCCGACGTGTGTAGGTAGATCGAGCTATTCTGAACAGAAAAGTTATTTACTATTTTGAAAAAATCGCAATAGTTATTGAAATATGAATTAATAAATGTAAGCCAATGAGAGCGCGGGGAGCGATAATCGGACTCTATAGGCGTGCACAATTATCAGCTCTACTCCTCGCTCGCCGCTGCTCGCTGCGTACCGCTGAATAGCGCCCGATCGCAAGAAACTGAGTCGTTCCGCGCTTGTTTGTTTACTCCGCCTCTCGTTACTAAGACATTACATGAGAGAAGCTATTTTTCTTTTCATCTGATAATCGTGCACGCCTATAGAGTCCGATCATCGCTCTCCGCGCCTTCATTGGTTCACATTTATTAATTCATATCTCAATAAATATTGCGAATTTTGCAAAATGGTACATAACTTTTCTGTTCAGAATGACCCGATCTACCTACACACGTCGGCTTTATAGTTCGTTGTCAGACACCCTGTATATGTAGATAAAACATTCAAAAAATGAATTTTCCAAATTCATTTCAAT